ATTTCAAAGTTTTTTTTTATAAAATTTATGAATTATGCCTGTAGTTTTTGAAATAACGTTACTTATAATTGTAGTTACCGTTGCACATCCCAACAAAGTTATTAAAGCGAGATAGAAAATCTTCAATTTATTGTGGCAATAAAAACCTAAAATGGTTAGTTAAAACTCGTTCTATATACTCAAATTAATAAAAATGATGTATAAAGTTGATAGATACCATAATATATCATTGGATAAAATGACCCTCTGTAATAAAATATAATTAATTTTCTATAAAACAATTATCAAAAAATAAAAATAAAAATTTGATATATACACTATTAAAGTCACAATTCCAATATAATCGCATCTACTCCAGCTCGCAGATACCTAAAACAATCCAAATCAAAAATTTTAAATATTGTGTAGTTCATCGAAACTGGCTCATTAAATTTAAGAAATATCCAATACGTACTTTCTCCGAATGACAACAAAAAGTATGAAAAGTACAAGAAAACCCCAGGCAAACCATTGCACCAATCAAAAATATGTGAAAAACGGCAAAGTCCCACCAAATAATTGAAGGACGATACGATAATACATAGTAATTGGTTATAAATGCCAGAAATACAAATGATATTGCTCCAATAAGATGAGACCAGATATTAACTAAATTTAAAAAAATAGAAATTCAGTCGATCTTGTTTTGAACAAGTTTTTGAAAAACTAGATGAATATTTCTTTTCACGAACCACTTTCGTTATGAACGTAAAATAATGACTCGGCACATTTTAAATAAGAAAATGTTGGTCTTCGATATCCTAAACAAAAATATTAGTAAAATATTAGTAAAATAACCTTTATGAAACAACAAAATTTATTTTTTTCATACCTTTAAGAATATCACGATTATCTTGAAGCCAAAGAGGCAATTCTCCAAAAGTACAGAGTAAAGAAGTTTTTAAAGCACTGGTTTTAAAAATATCAGGTATAAGAGATGTTGCTTCAGTTGTTTCCTCAGAAAATTTTGAATCTGGATGCATTTTTCGTCGAGAAAGCATTATATTAATTTTTAATTGTAATATTTTGCGCGATGCAAATTGATTTTTTAAATTTTTTTTTTTTTTTGATCCGTTTTTTTTATGATAATTCGTTTTTTTTATATCTGGGGAAGAATTATACTTAACTAATTGTTGTTGACATGTGAAAAAGTACAACTGTTGTGACATAATTACCCCAAAGATTTTCAGCCGCCCCACTAGAATTTATTTATCAGTTTGTAGAATTTTGAATTTGGCCTCAAATTAATTGGAAATTGTGCTTGGGACTTCGGACCGGACCAAATTAGTCGGAGTGATCTTCAGACATAAATTCGTTTGGCAAATACACAGCCGCCGACTTTATGGATCTTATTATAAAAAATTTTAGTTAGGGTTGTGAAATTACCGTAATTTTACGTAATTTTGTGTAATTTTTCGTAAGATTCGGTAAATTGATAATTTTAATCACATGACATGCAAAGTTTATCGTTATTAAATTTTTCGTTCGCTAATTACTGAAATGCAAAAGTTTCAAAATTGATAGGTCAGCGGTTACATTTTTGATAGATCTACGCTGTACTCAAAATTTGATTACGTTC